ATATTTATAAAATAATTTTTGACTGAGAAAAAAAAATTAAAACAATTACTGGTCGATAAAAATTAGACTAGGAAATACTAATAAAACGTCTTTGTGAAAGCTCGAATTGAACAATTACCTGATTGTTGGGATTCATCTGGTCCTGAAGCTTCAGGAATACCTGCATTTGCAGCCAATTTCAAATGCATCAGTAGGAGATATAAACAGCAAAATTATGATAAATAATTCTAGGCAAGCGTCAATAGATACATGACGATGAGTGTATCGTCCAGCCCCCACAAAAATTCAGGTGCATGCATCCTCTTGGATAGTTATTAACCATCAACTCGTAATATGACATGGGAAGTTCATATTGCAGGAAATTGATGTTCACCATTCAGAGATATATAGCTTGTGTTTCCGTATCTTGATATAACTTGACAGAAAAAAATTAGAAGCCTTAAGGTTGAAAAGAATTAATTACCAGGATGTAGACCTTTATCTTGTATTGATGCTTCCAATGCATCTGCGTAACCTGCCAAATTCAAATGTACCAGACATTAGTAACAGTTTTTCTTAAACGACCTTTATTTTGGGCATTGAGTACACTGGAGCACATTCCTTCACCTACTGACCTCTTTATGATAGGACTACATTTTCTGATATCATTCATTTTATTCTTTTTTCAGATTTACATTCCATCTCCTCCTAAGCATTATATACCCGAATGTATTTGTTGTAAACTACAACCTGATTTAGAATATGCCCCGCAAATTTGCTCATTTAGATATTAACCATCAACTTATAATGACAAAACAGAGGATAAAATCATTAGTATTAATGCAAGTTTTAAGGGTCATTTCAATGAATGATCGAGTGCCTCTCCACCTTTTGTAGGGCTGATAGTCTTAGCTGCCTCAGCTGCATCTTCCACGTTATTCAACACCTTGACAGAAGGGCCCTCATGGTTATGTATCCCTTCGTAGGTGACGACCAAAAAGCTCGTATCTTGGGAGTCTCGGACGACCCTTTTCCTCATTGGACAACCCGATGTCGAACATTTGTAGTGGTTGCTATACAGAGTGGATGAAGTCACGAAACAAGGAATAATTAAATCAACAAAACTTTTTAGCAGCTTCTGAACTTCTAAACAATATTAGGTGCATGAAATAATCACCTTCGGTGGGGATTTCCCTTGATTGTCTTCGTCCCATAATTCCTCCATTTATAACCATCATCAACTTTATCAACGTTGCTTTTTATTCGAAATTCAGTTCTATCCCTTCTCGCGATTTCGCTTGCAAAACCTATGACACCCTTGTTTTCATTCTCAGTACAGTTCCTGTAAAAGAAAAAACCACTCCATTAAAACACACCCTTTCATAGAACATTTATTTTTGCAACCCATTAGCCTAATCATATTTGACCAAACCACTTGCATAATTGACTTCCATAAGTTTACGTTCATCCTTGGGATAAAGATTGGAAGACATTTAAAAGTGTTTTGTATTGGCAGAATGGGGTCCTCATACACAGCAAAGCAGCCCTTCTGATTTAAGTGAGTGAGGAGCACTACTGTCAGGTAGAAATGCTTATAGAGTACCTAGTATCAAGAAAGAACAACAATGTCTACTTCATGGTGTACATCAAAAAGAAAGCTTAACTGACCATCTTTTGGCCTTAGGTTCATCTTCATCATCGTCTACTTCACTGGTTTCTGAAGCCAGGTCCAAATAATCATCTTCTACCCTCTTGTTCTCATCTGATGAAAAGTTCCATGCTTGTTTTGGTGCCTGAAATTTGAACAAATCCAATGAAATGTTAATGGCAATCAAGGCTGATCACAAGAAGTTCTGCCTTATGTCATCTAGATTGGCCTCAATATGAGGGATCAACTCTGGCCTTGGACCAATATCTTACAAAATTCTTGCCGCTTGGCTGTATTGCATAGTTATCTACTTGTGTTATAAGCAAATAACTCTTTCTTCATATGTCCTTTAGCCTTGTCCCCAATAGGTTGAAGGCTCAAGCAATATATACATTTGTATGGGGCAGGTTCATATATTTATTTGAGATTTATACAGTTTCTTTTTTAAAAGAAAAAAATGTAATCTAGATGACAAAAAATTCATTAAGACACATGTATTCAAAAATATATTTTGAATTGAGACAAAGAAAACCGAAATAGTTCAGTTGCTGAGTTGAATATGTTGAATAAGATTTATAGAAACAAAACAAGGGAGTTTAAGACAAAGCTATGCTCTGTTTGGTTGCTCTGCATATTAGCTATACTCTGTTTGGTTGCTCTGCATATTGATATATAGTACTTACCTCGGTCCATGGAGTGGATGGAAGCATGCATACCGAAGAAGTTGACTTTGTCACATCTGTTTCAGTTATTCTCTCCTCCGTGTAATCTGACGGTGATGAACCGCAATTGCCTACAAGAGTTAAAGACAACAAAAATAAGAAAAAATTGTCTCACAAGAGTCACAAGGAAAAATCACCTGACCAGTGGCCTCCATGATCTTGTGTTGAAACTTCAAGCAATCATCTACCATTTTTCCTATGTGCCACGTTAAAATCTTCACTTCCCATTAGTCATTAGCAAACTTTTTTTTTCGTGTACAATATTTGCTACTGAGATGAGTGAGTGAAGATGAGGGCACTTTTTTCGTATTGTGATCATGATTAACATAGACTTGATTCAACCTTTTTTATATTTTTATCGTAATAACATGACTTTGAAGAGAACGAAATTGAAATAGGAGTGGAATTGCTGGAATATATATATGTGGATATCATAGAGCATTTCCAATGGAATCTAGGTAGCTACTTGACACAAGCACGAGAAAGTCATCGGCATAGATAATGGTTTAAATACCATATTCCCAGGCATGCAATCATTATCTGGATGGGTATTCTAGATAGGCTGCCAACTAAAAAGAGGATTAGTTCTTGGGAACAGGTCCCTCTCACATGAATTCCTGTACATTTTTTGTAATCATGTTGAGGAGTCCAGGGATCTTTTGTTTTATGCTTGTGATTTCTTAGAGCAAGTTTTGACTCAAGTTCTTCACTCAAGTTGTTTTCAAAGACTAGAGAGTGCCTGGACCACTCTATTTCGTTGGGCGAAGCAAAGACAGAAAGAGGAGGCTTTCATCTTGGTTATTATGCAACTTTCTTGGAGTGCATACATTTATACTATTTGGTCAGACACAAATTGCAGGATCTTTGGCAGCACGCAGAAGACTTGAGCTGAACTTCTTCGCGGTATCATTGAAGTTGTTAGGTTCAGGCTTCGTGGACTTCAAAATATTTCTAGAGGTCGTATTAATAGTGAACTTTGGATGAATGGAGGAGTAGATGAAAGAATGTTTAATGGGCTAAACCTTCTCTGGGGACTTCTTTGTTTCCTGTTTTTTGGTTTGTACTATTTGCAGCAGGGCTTACCTGCTTCTCTTTGGATAGTGTACTCAATAATCCACAAAAAAAAAGAAAAAGTTCAAGTACTCAGTAAATTTATCTCACTGAACTGACAACAAACATATGCAAATAATGTAGACGATGAATAAAAAGAGCAAAAAGGATCAAAGCATATATTACCTAGTTGTTGGCCTTCATTTTGCATTGTGACTTCAAATAGATCTCTATCTTCTGCCAATTGGGTCATCACATCTTTCTCTTTGTCGATAGGGGAAAAGATACGCATTAGATAATCTGGCCGGTTTCCCCACTCTGCTTCATTCCACTTCATATCTTCCCACCACTGAAGTTCTGCTTTGATTATCTTCAAAGTTTTGCTTGACAATTCCATTTTTGATATGCTTTTAAGCTTTGGACAATTATAAAAGCCTATGGTTTCTAATTTTGGTGCAATTAGTAGTCCGTTAGAAATGCTGACCAGTTCAGGAAGGTAAAGAAGCAGCAATCTTTTCAAACTTGGGAGAAATTTATCTGACATCATTGGCTTAACAGATGCATGGCTTACCAGGCTGGTGACTAGAGGGCAGTCCTCAAGAATAAACTCTTCCAAGTTGACAAAATTTCCAAGCAAAGTATGAGAGAAAATATTAATCAGCAGGGGGCATGTATGCAGTGCTAGGAATTTTAGCTTAGACATACATCCATAGCAATTTGGTCCTCTCCAGATACTCCCTAAATTCTCCATGTAATAAATGTTCAAATATTCCAGCGACTCAAGCACATTTTCCACAGGACTTGGGTCAGATTCCGATGGATCATCTTCATTTCCTTCATAATGCCTTTCGCCATCAATAATGGTTTCCATCTTATTACAGTCTACCAACAAGCAAAATTTTAGCCTCTTCATATTCTCAGTCCCAAATTCAGATAGATTCATAGCGGTTCCATGGTGGTCCAAGAAAAATGAAGTAGAATATTTTAGAACCCCTTTTATTTCAATTGGGATGTTTTCACCATTCACAAACTTCAAGCATTTGTCCCAGTTTCTGTATTCTGCTTCAACTTCATGAGGTACACGAGATATGATCCTCCTTTTATGATGGCCAACAATAAATCTAAAGCCTGACAATGAAGGATATAACGATGATATACTATCTAAAAGTTGGAATTTCGGCAGGTACAAGCTAAGAGTCGTCAATGTTTCTGAGTTGCATACTTCCTTCACAACTGCTCCCACAGAATCATCCCATCTCTTGTCTGTCGGGTTCACATCAATGCTTAATTCAGTAAGTTGGGAGAGATTTGATATTGTCTCAGGGTGAATCACAACGTTTGAATATTTCGACTTCTTTTTGCCACAGATTTGATAAAATGATACTCTCAAACGTCTTAACTTGAGTAGCTTTCCAGTTTCTTTAGGCAGATCCATGATCTGAGTTTCATCAAGATCAAGCTCCTCAAGATTACTGAGTTTCGCAACCTGAGGTGATAGCTCCATGAAGAGTTGACAACGCCGTAACAAGAGTTTTTTAAGTGCAACCAACTTGGGAAGAGACTTTGGCAAACATTTGATGCTAGTGTGGGACAAATCTAATACTTGGAGAAAGGCCATGCGCTGGAAGAATAAGGGAGGAATAGCTGTCAGCTCATAATTCCCTTGCAAATACAACACAATCAGTGAAGGGCAATTTGGAGATGGTGGTAGCTCAGACACTTTATCATCATTCATGAAAAGCACCCCTTTGCCTGCCCATTCTTCTTCCTTTCGTATCTGGGTCAATCCTGAGCCACTTTGCTTGAGAACAGATTGTTGCATTTTGGTTGAAGTGTGTATGCTATTACATAAAATTTTCTGGCCCAGAGGATCTTCCCTCACAAAATACTCTGCTCGTGAAGCATCAATTACACTTTGGAGAATATAATATAATCTTCATTATGCATATTAACCAGATAATCTCCAGGGCAATTGCGAAATTAAAGATATAAGTTAATTACCAAGATATTATATATATATATATATATATATATTCTATTATAATTTGGTGCGGTGATTTTCATAGAATTTAATGATTTTCATCATCTCATTTCCTGGCTTTCTTTCCATTTTATCTTTTCTTAATTTTGCAAAAATTAACTTTTATTTTTTGCTTCTATATATGTTAGCATCGAGAAGGGGAAAAGGAAAAAATGCTGACATGACAGTTTAAATTGCATTTTGTTGTAGAGTTTAAAGGAAAGCGTTAACAATAGATTGTCTAAACTAGAAATTTCAGAATTATGTGACAAGAGTAAAAATAATTTTAATAAATTTAAGTTGATTATTTGTGTAATTTTACCCAACAAATATAGACACACAACCAACAGAAAAAAAAAAACCATGTGTATATACTGCATCTACTTTTCGCTGCTTTCTTTTTATTTTTCTTTCGAATAAATGCATGGTACACTTCATTTGAAAATGAAGAGGAAAATATATATAAATATATATAAAAAAATCAAATTATGGTAACATTGAAAACACATATACAACAGCTTTGAACATAAATTGATTTATTGATGATTTAAATATTTAATACATACATGAATATGTATATAAATTCAAAATATATATCGTCTACTTTTTTTAAAAAAAATTTGGATTATTTCATCTTTTACAATGACAAAGATTAATTGATTAAGCCTAACACAAGTAAAAAACAAGAGCTTATCACTCATTCAAGTGATCGCAATATAAACAGATCAGAAACAGAAATTAAAGAGAAATAGTAAACTCACCTGCAAGTTCGCTTGAGTGGAAATATAGTAGCTCTGGACCTTGGAGATGAGGTTTGGCTCATTGTTCACGAGAAAATGAGGCTAAAATTCTCGAGCGGGGTAAGTGGAGGTTGATAGGTCAAAGCCATTGAATGGTAGTCCTTAAACCCGATTCCGCGTGCAAGGAAATTTAACTCCTATCCTGAAACTCAAAGTGGGGTAGCCCAACAATTCGAGGGCCTTTCCAGTTACCATTTCGTCCCGACAATGACCGTTTACCAACCGAAGCATTTCCATCCGGCTTCCATGCAAGCTCTTTGCACTTTACAATAATTAATTATTTGATTACAGTAATTAAGAATTTGATTAATGGCTGTTTGTAGTACATGTTAAAATTAATTAAATTATTATTAAAAAAATGATTTTTCATTTGTATCTACTTATTTTCTTCCTTTTTATTTCCTCCTTTCGTGATTTTCAGTCTGTTTTATTTCTTTTTTATTCCATATGTGCTGTTAGTAAAAGAGAAATACTTATTTGAGTTCTCCTATTATTTATTTGAGTTCTCCTATTACTTAATAATAGTGGGTGTTGAACTATATAAACTTTCAAAAAAGTTGCCGACCAAAATATAATTTTTAAAATAAAGAGGATGATCCAAAATAAAAAATTTTAAAACTTAAAAATAAAACATATTTCGTTAAAAAGTCACTGAATTATTTTAAAATTTTTAAATAAATTTTTATTTTTCTACTACATTCAATCAAATCTTTATACATTTATTCTGAATTAAATAAACCCTCATATTTAATAGTTAACTAACTGTCATTAGTCAAAACGTCACTTCTCATTTTATACTCATGTGACATTAACTTGAAGTTAACATGAAAGTGACAAAGTTTTCTAAATATTATCTCAGAGACTGATTAAAAATTGATTTTCACTGCACATAGAAAAGAAAAATAATTTGTTGCCAATTCAGCCACATCCTGCATTTTTTGGGGAGAGAATGGATGTCCAAATTGATCTAGAAAGCTAAAAGAGCTAGTTAAAGTTTTCCGTTTACAAGCGATAGGGAAGCGAACATGGCTAGATAGCTTGTTCTCAATGTTTATTCACAACCTCAGTAAGAAAGTGACATAGTCGGCAATCAAAGGCACCTTCGAAGAGTATGGCAAAGTGGTGGATGTTTTTGTTCTAAGGAAGAGTTACCAAGATAAGGAAAGAACCACAAATTTGCCCTTCATAAGGTATAGAGAGAGGTTCGAGATGGAAAAAGCACTGAAATGGGGCAACCATCAATAGTTGGACAAAAAAAGAGTAATGATTAGAAAGGCGGAGCCAATAAAGTAGACAGTGATGGAAGAAAATAAGGTATATGTTGTGGAAAACAAAGTTATAAAGGCGATACGGTGTCCTGTAAGGATGTTGTTATAGGGAAGGGACATATGATTACAAGAGAGGAAGCTGTAGTTAAGGTTAGTAGCAAAGCGAGTAAGAGACTATTGGAGTAGCTAACGAGAAATGAAAAATGGTAGGTCGATGCAAGAACAAAGGGTGGAGGAAGGAAAGAATGAAGGAATATATTAAAACGGTTGTGGGATAATAACGGTTAACACCATTATTCTTTAAGAAGAAATGGCATGGATTAAGAGTAGTGTAGTCAGGAAGCTTAAAGCAGGAATAACATATGGAATTGTTAAAACAAGCTTATTGAGTGAAGAGATTGATCTTGAGGTGCGAGTTATTAAGGATAGATCGACCTTTCTTAGGTTTAGAGATCAAGAAGAGATGGAGGTTATTTTGGAAGGGTATACGGATATCTTAGAAGCATGGTTTGACTCAATCCTACCACTACCAATAGCAAACCAAGAGAGAAATGTTATATTATGCGTGAGACCCTCAGAGGTTCCAATTCAAATGTGACATGTCAACACGTTTAAAGCCATTAACGAATGTTGGGGAGATTTTATGGCTATTGACAAGAGTACCTTTAAAAAAGAAAAGTATGATCAAGGCCATGTCCTTGTAAAAGTCAACAACAAGGCTAACATTCTGATAGATTTAATTTTGTTGGTAAGCATTTTGGAAGCTACTTTGTAAAGCACGTTACATAAGCTGATGGGTCGAAAATGACTTACGTGTTCTACTTGGGCAATCTTTGGAATAAGCACGATAAGTGTGTGATTTATGTCTTGATAGGGAGCTTCACCTTCCAAGAATTCAACAACAAATTGGTGGACACACTTGCTCATCCTATGCCAATATCTTTGGAAAAACAAAGCTGGCAATCCCTTAAGGCCGGGGGCTTTTGTGGGATGCATTTGGAATAAAGCTGTTCGAACTTCTTTAACAGTGATTTCAACATTCAACTCAATATTTATACCCTCAGATACCTTCGATTGTATGGAACTAAGCACATGCTCTATTAAAGTTGGCCTCGACATAGTGAATAATTTTGTAAAAAACTCACTAAACTCATCGACCACCTCTTTCTGCTATTCTGTTTATTCACCATTATCTTTTTTAAGAGCCCAAATTCAATTTTTTCTACATTGTTCAGAAGCGCAACCATGAAAAAACCTAGTGTTCTTATCCCTATCCTTAAGCCATTCCTCTCTTGATCGCTACTTAGACATCACTTCTTCTATCTTTAACATCTCCCAAAGTTCACTCTGAATCTACTTAGCTCTTACAAATTGTCCGTCCACTTTATGGGCTTCCTGTAACTCTCTTTTCTTCTTTGTAATTTGCACTTGAATTTTTTTAAGAGGATTTGGTTTAAGTTGCTTCAATTTTTGTTTAATTGTAGCCAACTTATTTAGAAATTGCCAGTATTGCCATCACACCTTTCCATTTCAGTTGCTAATATTTGCTCACAATGACTATCATGTTGGACATTTTCAAATAAAAATATGATTTCATATCGAAATAGAAGGAAAATTGTGACTGTTGGAAAATAAAAGAAGGGTTGTGTTTATTGAAAATTAAATCAATAAATAAAATAAAATAAGAAAAGA